AACATTAGGCTACAAAAAATATGTCGAAAACGCGTGATTTTCGTGCCTCAGTGTAGATTATTGGTTAAATAATTAAATAAATATATGAAGAAGAAGAAAAAATCTATCGTACAGTACACTTATGCTCTTTTTTTAAAATCAAAATCTGAAAAATACTTAAAAAGCTTGTTTTTAAAAATGGAAAAAGAGCTAAGTTCTCTTAAATCCTTAGGCAAATCATACCAATTCATAGCAGCAGCAAACTTACTGATAGTCAATAGAAAATATCATCGTCAAATGCTGTGACTTATACACTCATTTGCAAATTCCTTATCGGATTCAAAACATAGAAAGTAGGACCTGAGACCGAAATTGTACACGGGAAGTATATTTATTAGATGTAACTAGTGATGCAACTAGTGGAATGTTCATAAATTATTGAGCGACTGTGTATCTCAAATGAATACATCACTTAAGGATAATCATGTCATTTCCCAGAATACCTTTTGGAATTTCAGCTTCTATATACTTTATAAAAGAAATAAAAATCTGCTTGTTAGTGCTAGGGATATTGGCAAAGCAGTAGCGAAGTGTTGAGAAGTACTCCGCTTCACATCATGATTTTCCCCCACTACTCTGACAATCCCATGGTGCATTACTTATCAAARCTGAGCGCTTGAGTTTTTAAATCCTGCTTGCCAACCTGTAGCAGCCATCCATAACTCAAAGCGCACACCATGAATGATGACCATTTATCAACTTCTAACCTTGGTGATGAATTGCTTCTACGGCACACTTTAACCTTGTCTTYGATCCATACGTATCTAAATCAATCGCCAATCTGGCGGAACCTGAATACTCTATTACAGCAACCCGAGTTTGAATCGGRGAGATTTCAAAGTCACCAAGTACCTTGCTGCRAAGAAACATAAAGTCAGTAGGTTTGTACAACATATGACGAAATGATATATACGTATAATGCAATAATGTACGTAATAATGTTGCTGTCAACAAGGGCGGATCCAGGGGGAGGGCGGGGCAAAGGGGGGCTGAGCCCCCCCCCCCCTTCAGAAGAAAAAAACGATGCCTTTTTATATTGTATTCTGTTGTGTTGACGGAAGAAACACAATTAACCCCCCCTAAACTCAATTAGCCCCCCCCCCCCTTAAAATTTTGGCTGGATCCGCCCTTGGTCAATGAATGTTGAATATAATTCTACTTCTGGGCCTAGTTGTAGGAAGGGGGAATAGAGCTATCCAACAGACAAATCTTATCCAATGGATAAATGTATTAGACAACAAAATCGATTTATCCACTGGATAAGGGTTTATCCATCGGATAGTGCTATCCACCCTTCGTACAACCGGGCCCTGCAACGTTGCGCACAATAAGTTTCATTGTTGTAACACGTCAACTGTAACGCTGTCGACAGTAGAGTATACGTATAATGTATAAAAATAGCCTGAAAATCAATCATCATGTAACAATGTCTCACACGTCTTTTGAATTTATGGAAATGCTACTTCATCATCAATCGTCTACTTATCGTATTGTTATTGTTTATCGTCCACCCTCTTCAAATAGCTTGCTATTTAATGA